AATAAATGAGCAGAGCTGGACAGTTGCCACATCTCCAGTTAATATTGTGCAAACACAAGCATAGGCAGGAGGATGCAGATGTGCCATTTGGAATCATGGAAATTGTGCTGGAATTCCATGCCCCGAATTGGAGGGAGCTAATTCCTCCTACCTTTTTCATCTGCAGAGTGAGAGGCCTCATTATATGCTGGAAGAGCTTTCTGAGGTAGGAGTCACAAAGATACACAGCCCTGGCCAAAGTCAGGGTGATGGACATAGAGATTAGATATGGCTCATGCACGGAAAATGCCTCTCACTTTAAAAAACAACCACCTGAATATAGTAACCATTCCCTGTAGAGGCTGAAGATATTTTTTAAAGAGTTAAAGGAAATAAAACCATCAAGGCCCAATGTGGGACCTATCACCACTACATCAATATTTGTCTGTGACTAAACTTTTCTTACAGTGGAAAATCTGCTAAGGCTTTCATTCCAGAAAAGCTGGCCTGGGTGTTTAAACAGCAGTGGCCAAAAAAAAAAAGCAAGCCATGTTTAGTGCTTGCTCCTTTGCAGTTTGGTTTTGCTGACAATTCTCAAGTTGTTTCTCCATTTGGTCCTCCAAACCCATACATAGCAGAGCAACCATTATCTTCCTAAGTCATTGTCATAGGAAAATAGGGCAGGCCTCCCCACCTCGGATGCAGAGATGTCGCTCAGTTAAGTGCCCAGTTATGTGACTTACCTTATTTGCGTTTGTAATAAAGATGTCTTGCTCTGCATAGTTTTTTACACCACATCCCTCCACCCCGTGGTTCTCAAAAATCACTGAAAGATATTAAAATGACAGGAAGTTTTTTCATTGACAAAAAAGTTTACTTTTTTTCCTTCTTTTTACAAAATTTTTATTGTTGTTCAATTACAGCTGTCCCTATTCACCCCGCTCCATTACTCTCCCTTGCCCTACCCACACCCACCTTCCACATTCAGTCTTCCCCCCACCTTGTTGTCTTTGTCCTTGGGTACTTTATATGTGTTCCATGACTTGCCCCTTCCTCTTCTTTTCCTTGTTATCATCCTCCCTTCCCTCCGGTCACTGTCAGTTTGCTCTTTATTTCCACGCCTTTGTTTCTATTTTACTCACTTGTTTGTTTTGTTGGTTGGGTTCTACTTATAGGTGAGATCACATGGTTTATTTGTCTTTCATCACCTGGCTTATTTCACTTACCATAATGCTCTCCAGGTCCATCCATGCTGTCACAAAAGGTAGGAGTTCCTTCTTTCTTTCTGTTGCATAGTATTCCATTGTGTAAATATACCACAGTTTTTTGGTTCGCTCATTTACTGATTGGCACTTAGACTGCTTTCAACACTTGGCTCTTGTAAATAATGCTGCTGTGAGCATTGGGGTACATAGGTTTTTTTAATCGGTGTTTCAGGATTCTTAGGGTATAATCCCAGCAGTGGAATTGTTCAGTCAAGAAGCAGTTCCATTTTTAGTTGTTTGAGGAAATTCCAAACTGTTTTCCCTGCTGGCTTCACCAGTCTGCCTTCCCACCAGTAGTGTACTAGGGTTCCCTTTGTTCTACAACCTCACTGGTACTTGTTTGTTGATTTGTTTATGATGGCCATTCTGACCTGTGTGAAGTGGTATCTCATTGGGGGTTTAATTTGCATCTCTCTGATGGCTAGTGGTGTTGAGCATCCTTTCATATATCTCTGGACTCTCTGTATGTCCTCCTCCTTGGAGAAGTATTTATTCAGGTTCTTTGGCCATTTTTTAGCGGGATTGTTTGTGGTCCAGGTGTCAAGTCATGTGAGTTCTTTATATATTTTGGATATCAAACCCTTGTCCTAGATATCATTGGCAAATATATTTTCCCATATGGTTGGTTTTCTTTCGGTTTTGCTGATGTTTTCTTTAGCCATGCATAAGCTTTTTATTTTGCTGAGGTCCATTTGTTTATTCTTTCCTTTATATCTCTTGCTCTAGGGGACATATTGATGAAAATATTGCTGTGTGGAATATCTGAGATTTTTCTATGTTCTCCTCTAAAACTTTTATGGTGTCATGATTTATATTTAAGTCTTTTATCCAACTTGAGTTTATTTTTGTGTGTGGTATAAGTTACTGGTTGGGTTTCATTTTTTTTTTTTGCATATAGTGGTCCAGATCTCCAAACACCATTTGTTGAAGAGTCTATTTTTACTCCATTTCATGCTCCTGCCCCTTTTGTCAAATGTTAATTGACCAGAGAGACTTGGTTTTATTTCTGGGCTCTCTGTTCTGTTCCTCTGATCTCTGTGTCTCTTATGCCAGTACCATGCTGTTTTGATTACTATGGTCTTGCAATATAGTTTGATGCCAGGTATTGTGATCCCTTCTACTTTATTCTTCTTCCTCCTAATTGCTGAGGCTACTTGGGGTCATTTATGGTTTCATATAGGTTTTAGAAATGTTTATTCTATATCTGTGAAATATGTCATTGGTATTTTAACAGGGATGGCATTGAAGCTATAAATTGCTTTGGGTAGTATGGATATTTTGATGATGTTAATTTTTCTAATCCATAAGTATGGCATATGCTTCCATTTATTTGTGTCTTCCTTAATTTCTTTCTTCAATGTTGTATAGTTGTCTGAATATAGGTCTTTTACCTCCTTGGTTAGGTTTATTCCTAGGTACTTTATAAAATGACAGGTAATTTCTTATCTAGATTTTTTTGCCCATGGCATGCATATATATAGTTATGCAAATGTAAGCCTGAGATAGTGGCCTCCTTCCCATGTACCCCTAAAGACCCTGTGCCTTATTCCTCTCTGTATCCCCATGACCTGGGCATTATCTGGAATGTGGTCACCTCACCATAAACCTTTGCTGACTCATCAATGTTGAAACGTGCTCCTGGAAGACTCTTATTCTCACACACACACACACACACACACACACACGTTTAAGTTTGTTTTGGTGTAGTCTTTTTTTTATTCTCCCCACTGTATAGCTTTGCTCTTAATGCCTATCCTTAAAATTGGTAGACTTTTAGACTAAAAGAAAGATCTTTTGGTTGCACACCCTATAGTTTTGTAAGAAACTACTAAAAAACAGTTTTTTTAAATCCTCATCTGAGGATATATTTATTGATTTGAGAGAGAGAGGAAGAAAGAGGGGGAGAGAAAAGACACATCAGTGTGAGACAGAAACAATAATGGGCTGCCTCCTGTTGCCCCCTGACCAGGGATCGAACACACAACCCTCTGGTGCATTGGATGATGCTCCAAGCAATTGATTCACCCAGCCAGGACTAAAAGAACATTTTTTACATACAATTGTAATCTTAAAAAGTAAAAAATTAAAATGAATAAATAAATGAATGATTTCTTATGCAAAGTATTTTCATGGGAGAGGTCCATTTACTTTTCTTTTAGTACAATAGTTCAAAATACTTTTCACACCCACCTTTATGCAAGAGTTTCCTCCCAGGAAGACATATCCAATTCATGTGGGAAGACTTCGCACTATGTCTGTGAGAGGGTGAGCAGAGACAGAAATCCCAAAAGTAACTATGCCTTGCCTTTGTTTACTGTGTAACACTTCAGCATACACTACCAGTCCCCACCCCAGATGCTGAGTGAATGGCACAGCCATTGATATCTCATCCCACTAATGAAGAAATTGAGCCCCACAGGAAGGCAGTGGCTTCTCCAAGGTTACCTGGCTAGTTGTGACAACAGGATAGAAACCTGGGTTTTTCAGCTGTTTGCAATGTGGTACACTATGGACTATGTTATGAAATTAAGTGTGTAGACTGGGTGATTCTATAAACAGGAATAATAAGTAAAGGGAAGAAATCGATGCAAAAACGAGCGCACTAATTACTAACTCTGAAGAAGCTACACTTGGAAGATCTAGGGAGGACCTGGAGGAGCTGAGCTACGCTGTAGCTGGAAAAGTGTGTGCTGTTTTGTTTGCGTTGGGGGAGGAAACTTGGGTTCTCATAAGAGCATCTGATTGTAAACTATGGGATGTGAATACTTGAAATATCAAGGGGATCACTGTGTAAAATATATAATTGTCTAAACGCTATGCTGTATACCTGAAACAAATACAAAATAACATTGATTGTAAACTGTGATTGGAAAAGGAAATTTGAGCAAAAAGAAAAAAGAAGGGATGCAATTTTCTTCTGCGTTTCAATTATTTAAGCTTCACCTCCCTACGAATTTCTATGAGGCATCTTCTCTCCGAGAATTCGATTTCTTCTCTGACAGCAGTTAGGCGGATGACAGGAAGATGGATTGGGTTGGGGTTTCCATGAACAAATACCTTATAATAAAGGCCAGAGTGCCCGGCTCTCTCCCTGTGCATTTCCTTTCCCTAATACACTTTCAGGGTTGAAAAGCAAAGGTGCTGATGAGAGAAAAAGGACTCATTTAAAAATGACTATCTGACCTTCTTGTAATCAACTTTGTGCAGCATTTTATTTTTAAAGAAATGCAATTTCACTTAAATAGGCTAAAGGATTTTGTATTTGTTCTTCTAATAATCTTCACCCATTGGTAATGATACTTGGTTTTAGAAATCAATTTGTCAGTTACTCAGCCAACAAATATATATATTCAGAGTCCATTGTGCATCAGGCTCAGCTGCTGAAGAACGAATAAATGATGAATGACTGGTTGATCAATAAGATATAGATCTTGTCATCAAGGAACCTGAATTCTAGAAAGAGAAAGACAATTGGTAAACAAATTAATAAAAACCATTATTCTGGGCTGAAAACCTGTGTTTGGTGGGGACATCTGTTCCTGTGCTGAGCCCGAGCACAGTGGGAGCCCCCAGGGCCCACGTGGAGATGAACGGGAACCTCCCCAAGGCCACGCAGCCCATGTCTGGGGCTCGGCCTCCCCTACGACTCCAGTCAGACACAATGTCACCAAAGTGAGATTAATATTCAGGGTTAAATATATACAGTATCACCTGGGTTCGAAAGAGTGACCACATGTTGTTTTATTTTTATTCCAGGAATCTTGGAAAATCAGGACTCAGAGTTTCTTGCTTGGGTCTTGGTAAGTACTTGGCGTGCCATGTAGGGTGGGCTGGGAGGTGGGAGATTGGGGAGCATTACCAGGGAGTGACTGGGGTGCAGGTCTAAGGTGCAAAGCACTTCGTGACCAGCATTGCCCATTTCTCCTTCTCATCCTTTCCTGCCCAACGCAGCCCCCCCACCCCTTTCTCTCGCTCATGTGTCCATGATGCCGTCTCGGGGCCCATCGGACAGAAAGAAATCAGACTCTAGAGGAAGACTCACATGTCACTTCCCTTTAGCTGATGTGAGGGACCCGGTGGCCTCCATTTGTGTGCTTGACTTTCCTGCAGCCTCATCTGCACTTTTCCTATCCTTATTTTTTCTTTGCCTAAATTCTTCACTTATGTTTCTATATTGTTTTGTATTTTAGATTTTTACAAACTTTCACGATCTACCTTAAATACTTTAGGAACAAGGTGGTTATGTATCTATATACATAAATAAATTTGGGAGGGGGGTTTCTTGACTCCTATCAGTGGAAGTACGGAGACCAGGGAAGGGATGACAATGAACAAAAAAAGATAGTGGCAGCTAATTCTGCCTCCTTTCACTGTATTTCAAAGATATTAAGGTTGTCGAGGCCTTAGTTTTCCTAATTCTTCCTAATGATCTGATTTGGGAGGTAGCGGTGGTCTTTGTTCACCGTAAGTCTAAAGGACTTTGACTTTACTTAATTTAGAGCTCTAACCTTGTTACTGCTCACTCCTGTTTTAAAGAAGATTCACTATCAGGGACAGTCTAACCTTAGTTTTATAAGAACTAATAATTCTCATAATAATTATTCACTATCCATTATTGAAAGAAATTATAAATATAAGCTACCTATAAATATAATAATTTAAGAAATTCATATAAATTAAGAAATATGGTAAAAAATCATTGACCAATTGTTTCATAGAGTCAGGAGCAGCTACAGCAGAGAATCATTTAGTCAAAAGGACATAAAAAATTCTGCCCTGGCTGGTATGGCTTCAGTGGAGTGCCAGCCTGCAAACTGAAAGGTCACTGGTTTGATTCCCAGTCAGGGCACATGCCTGGATTGCAGGCCAGGTCCCCAGTTGGGGGTGCATGAGAAGTAACTGATCAATGTATCTCTCACACATCAATGTTTCTCTCCCTCTCTTTCTACCTCCTTTCCTTTCTCTCTAAAAATAAATAAATAAGTAATTTTAAGTACATAAAAAATTCAACCGAAGGCTCTTAAGACTATAAAAAATCTTAGGTATCTATGATGTGCTGCATGTAAATGAGTCTCCAGAAGGCAGACAGCAGTTTTTTAGAAACCCCGTGTGTTTGAGCTATAGCGGTGAACTTTGGAACAGACGGTTCAGGAGCAGGAGTCCTGATTTGAGCTTCAAGCTTCTTTGAGAGTCTGAACACTTGTGATAAGACCCTGCATGAAAAACAGGAGGAGACAAGGACGTTTAAGGGTTGACTGGCTTCATTCAAAACAGGTAACAAAGCTTGACAGCTTGAATAAGCATTCTTTAAGAAATTTACTGAGCTACCTCTGTAGGCCAGAGGAGACAAAAAAAAAATCAGGGAAAGGAATAATGCACCTGCCTTAGATAATTTGTCAGGGTCTGCAGACCCCATCTGTCAAGTCGAGGGGGAGCTGGGTTTACTGCTGTGGGCTTGGGGGGTCAGCAAACAGCCGTGTTCAACTGCAGCTTTGGAAACTACCTATTAACTGTTCCAAGCGATCCCAGAACTGTAAATGTCCTTTATTTAAATACTTGAAAAGCCATAATTAAAGCTAACAATTCTGACTTTCTCCTCTACCAGAGGACTGGCTGGGAACTTCTTGCCCTGCCAAGCTTTCTTTTGATAAACTAAAACCATGTGTAATCGAGAGCAAGCAGGTGAAGTAACTGAAACTACACCTGAAGGAACACAGCTCTGCCAGTGAGAGAAATCGGGGAAAAAAATTAAGTGTCCAAACCCACCTGTGGGTTGCTGTAACTAGCCTGGTGTATAAATACACTGGCAACTGCTATTAAGACTCAAAGTCAAAGAAACGGATGGAAAAAAGAGTAAATCCATCAAAGAATGACTGAAAATCACCTGTCTAGTGGGAAGTGAGATCCTCTTCTCAGAGAGGAAGAATCATTCTTTCTGAGCAAACGTTTCAGAAACCAGGCGTTGTGCCGGTATAGGGGACACCAGGATGAAAGCGGCAAGGACCTTGCTCTCAGACAGCTCCCAGTGTGGCAGGAGTCAGACATGCAGAAACAGACATTGTATTTGACAATGCCGTAGTAGAGAGTCCAGGGTGAACCAAGTGCAAGCAAAGGCTCTTGGGAATTTGGGACAGCTTCACAGGGCAGATACTGCACAGTTGAGACTTGAAGGGAGTCATCAAGCAGAGAAGGAAGTGGGAAAGGGGGTGAAGAATTCAAGACAGAGTGAGCAGTACAAGCAATGGCCCAGAGGGAGACTCCCCCAGAGCAGGAGGTACTTGGGGAAACACTGGTGTGTGTGCAGAATATTGTGAACGTGAGGTGCTTGGGAACCTTAAGAGATGAGCCTGGAAGGAAAGCTAGGCCTGATGGGGAGCCCTCACTTGCCCCGCTCAGGCGGGCAGCTCTTGCCTTCTAGTCCTGTGTTCCTCCAAGTCCTAAGGTCCCAAGGTCTCGGGGAAGCTTGGAGGATAAGCAATAGAGAGGGCTCCGCGCTTCTCTCCACACTCCTCCGCCCATCAAAGTAGCTCTTTTTCTAAATGTAAATATAAATTTTTAAATGTAATAAGTAACAAGTCACTAGTTTTTAGAGTGGTTTTCAGTTCACAGCAAAACTGAACAAAAAGTACAGAAAGTTCCCCTTCCCCCACATACACGCAGCTCCCCCCACTTTGGCCATCGCACACCAGAGTTGCACCCAGGTTACAACTTTACATTAACACATCACTACCTCCTGAAGACTATAGTTTACATTAGGTATATGTATAACTCTTGGTGTTTTACATTCTATGGGTTTGGAGAAATGTACTTGGCGTATACTGACCATTATATCATACCAAGTAGTTTCACTGCCCAAAAAATCCTCTGTGCTCTGCCTATACATCTCTCCCTTCCCTGTAACCCCTGGTAACCACGGATCCATTTACTGTCTCCATAGTTTTGCATTTTGCAAAATGCCATATAGTTGGAATCATATAATATGTGGGTTTTTCAGGTTGGCTCCTTTCACTTAGTAATATGCAGTTAATTTTCCTCCATATCTTTTCATGGTTTAATAGCTCCTTTTGTTTTAGTTCTTCACATCACATTGTGAAGTGGGGCATGGAGGGGGAGGTGGAATTCTGCCAAACAAAAGTTTAAAACTCTGCTCTAGTGTGTGCAAAACCATCTAAAAACTTGGATCAGGAGTAGGACATGATCAAATATTTAGAATTGTTTTCTGGAGGTGATACAAAGGCTACATCAGAGGGGGAAAGTGTTGAAACCAGGGATAGGCAGATAAATTAGGGGCCAGATGATGAGGCAATGGCGTTGAACATGGACCAGAAGAAGATGGTTATCTAGGAGGAAGAATAATCGGGACTTAGTGACCTTGGGTGCAGAACGAAAGGCCTCCCTGAGCAGAGAAGGGTGCCTGGGTCTCTGGACTGGGCATGGGGTGGATGAGACAAAACCTCAGGAGGAAATGCAGGAGGGAGCAGTCAGAGGAGGGAGGATTTGGAGATGCGAGAGCTGTGTTGGGAAGTGGTGATCAGAGAGCCTGTGAACTTCTGCTTCAGATACCCAGAGGGAGCTCGGGGCTAGAAATAAAGACTTGGGAACTTCTAACCCAGGCAGTGGACCTTGGGTTGTCATTAAGATCACCTGCACAAACAGAGGACTGAGATATTTGTCCAGGTTTTGAACAGCAGCCTTGTGGAGTTTTCCAGATTGTATATTTCCTGAGAGCAGAGATGGCCTCTGTTTTCCCTGTACCCCTATTGTGCCTTCAGCAGATCAAAATATCTGGCAAGTGAAGGTGCTCAAAAATATTTATTTAATGAAGATCTGCATAGATGGGTCAATTGCTAAGGAATGAAATAAAGCACACTGGGTAAGAGTGAAGATCCAGCAGAGGACAGACAACATGAATTGATGAGGTCCAGCCAACCCAATTCTTTGGTTTTCTTCAGCAGCATTTCAACTCAGAAACAGAGAAGGCCACATGCAAGTGGAGTGTGGGAGAAGAGACAGCCCAGTGTGAGGATGGTCCCCAGAGCAGGTCAGGGCCCAGGGGTCTGCTGCACACACCATGCCATGGAGTGCATGGGTTGGCTCAGAGCCTTCTCAGCAGGGCCCTCACTCCTTCCATTAGCAAGAAGCAACTGCCCGCACTGGGTGGCTCCACACAGTCTGGAATGAGGAGCAGGAGGCCCATCTCATTCATGCCATGGGAGGCAACACACCACAGTGGGCAGCTGCTCCTACACGTGCTTGAAAGGGGCTGACTTTACCCCACACCATTCACTTTTGATGTGTGCGCTTCCCTCCCGATAAGATGCTTTTGAGAAAAGGGGCATGTGATGATTACTTTTATGTTCAGTCTGATTGGACCATGGCTGCCTGCACCTGGAGAGTTGGTCAAACATTGTTCTGAGAGTAGACGAGGGGTTCTTGGGGTTTGGATGAGTGTGTTTTTGGATGAGGGTGTTTTCAGGGTTGGCCTTGAAGTTCTCTGGAGCTGAAGTCCTGGGACGGTACCTGGGGCAGTCAGACTGTGCTCAATCCCCTTCCACTCAGCACCTGCCGCCTGGGTCCAGCTGGCCTTATTTCCTTCCCTACCTGAGGGAACCTTCTAGAGCAAAAGCAGTGAATCATAAGAGTAAACTGTATGACTTCTTTCTAATGTGTTGCGTAGATGCAGAATGTACTCCTGGCTCATCTTCCTCTGCCTTAGAGATGCTCTTGCTGCACTAAATATTTTGGCACTAGGAGAACATGACTTTAAGTATTTAACGTGGATATATTATTTTTGTGACAC